TTGACAGATTTGAAAACAAATTACTAAATCTGTATGTAGTGAGCTGTTATTTTCAGTTCCTGTAATACAGTAAGCAGAAATTTCTAAAGAAAGTTGCTAACTTCTCTAAAGGAAATACTGATTTTCTCTGAAACAAGCAAAACTTCAGTCTTGTCTCTACATAGCCAGTTGCTTGGCACAATTAGTAAGGCAGATTTTAATGAAAACTAAAAAGGTTTTAGTAATACTAAAAATCTAAAACTTTTTTTTAATGTATTTATCATTTTTGAGGAGTCTGTTGTTCTTGTATGCCCAAAGCAATTTGAAAATACACTGTCTTGTACCTTGGTCTTATCAGGCCTTATAAATGAGTGAAAGAACAGAAGTTCCTCGTGAGAAAAGGAATTGTTAGTGATTGGATAGGTAGAACTTATGAATTATTATGAAATATTTTTTTTTTTTACAAGAGGGTATCAATTTTTCTCTCCGTTTGGTCTATGGTGTTATTTCAGAGTATTGCCAGCTTTTAGTAGTACAGTTATTTACTCCTCCCTATGAATGAGCACATATATGTTGGGATTGTTAAGCATAAGAAAGATGTTTCACTGACTGTAAAATTAAAACTTACGTTCCAGTTTACACAACTGAATTTTTACATTGCTTCGTCCAGTCTTTGACTGACCAACCATAAGCCACCCCAAAGAAGGCAGAATGATGCAAGGGCAGGAAGGGGAACTGAACTTTAGCCTTTTTCTGGGAAGAAAAAAAAAAAAACCAAACCCACCCAAAAAGCACACCCAATAGGACAGCCAGAACTGGAGAAGGCCAAAGTAACTAGTCACTTTGGGAAGCCTCAAACTTCTATTTCAGCACATCATGAGAAGGGAATAATTTTTTCCTTATCACTTCCCTGCAGTTGTCCAGTCAGGCAGGGACTGGCAAGTGCTGGTACATGTGTCGGGCAGATGGATTTCACAGCTGCTTCCAGGGCATAGAAGCCACTCAGGGTTGGCAAAACACACAGTAATATCTGTGTCAATCCTGGAAACCACCCAGCACAGTTGGTTGATCTATACATAGGAATTTGGGGTGCTACCCTACAGAAGGGTGTGCATAGGGTATGAAGTTTTACCCCCCCAGCAAGCTTGTAAGTACTTGCTTTCTTCATGGAGAGCATGCCCACAGGACATGCCTACAGCTTATGTCATCTCATCACATTACCTCTATGACAGGAAGAAGCCACCAGAAGGATTTTACTTATGCAGGTCCCTTTGCCTCGACTGTAAAATTATGTGCTTTCGCGTTACCAACAAATTCACCCTTTTAGCTTCTCTCCTAACCTCAGGCTTCCCAAACGAGAGCCCTGTCCGATAGGAGGGGGTTTAACAGTGTAAACGCCAGCCAGGTTAAGGACGGAGCTCCAGGTTCAGACCCTGGGCTGAACATTTAATGTGGGCACAACCTCAGCACCTGGTGTTCAGGTTTCCATCTCCGTGGCTATAAACCGTAAATGGATAGCAAAGCAGACGGCAGCAAACAAGCGTGTGTAGAGTCTTTCCCAAGGACTCTGTGCCAAGGTAAATTACCATCAGTTATCATTTAAATGGAAATAAGCTTCACTGATTACTTTGCATATTCATTCAGAATGAAACCAGATGTTCCTCAGTCCACTTACAAACCTGTAACTCACATTTGAAGGCAGGCAAAAAAATTCTCACAAGAAAGGGACTACTGAATCTTGCTAGTGAATTGGTTTATCTGCTAATGGTGGTGGGAGCACTTCTGAATCAGAAACGTTTTCCGAGCTGTTAGAGACAGCAAAATGCAAATTTCCATTCCTGCGATACTAATATTGCCCCAGCATGAGTCAAGCTTTTGTTGTATTTAAAAAGGAAGAGCAACTTCCCCATAGGAAAATTCTTCTGAATCACTGTTGAGGTTTGGGTGAGTGTTTTAATATAACAATTTTCTGTGTTTAATTATTTTAATTTTACTTGTTCGCTACCTTTATGTTTCTTGTCATGACACGTTTTCAGTCTGCAGCCAGGAGTCTGGGTTGCAGTGACGTGTTATACTTCAGAAGGAAGCAAGTTGCTCTATCTAAATCATCTGAGAAATTCCTTTCGGTTATCCAGTCTGTTTGAAATTGTCAGGACGTCTCCATTTTTCTCCCAGCTTATAAGACCTGAAGCGTTAGTATCCCCGCCTATATATGTGTTACTTCCTAATTTGTAGCATTTCTGACCTTTGAATGAACTTTTACAAATCAATAACAGTGAAGTGGAAGGAAGGTCAGCAGCAGTTTTCCTCTTATCTGAGTGTAGCCAATGTTAGGCTTGGAATATCTAAAATATATTAGGAACTATCATAATCACATTTATGAAGCATTTCTGCAGATTTTTTTCAGCACAGTCATGTAGTTGCTGTCTGAAGAATATAGTTCAAGGCCAGAGCCAGTGGTGTCAATCAGTTTTTAAGTTGTTGTGTATCAATTTTTACATGGCAGAACTACTACAAGAGGCCTTAACAGCCAGAGCTAAAGAATAATTTTCTTGACTTTTTTTTTGCAGCAGGGAAAGTGTAAGTGGATTAGAAACCCTTCTCATTAATGAGTTGCTGCAACTGAAATACCATTAATTTCCTCCCACTTCAGATTACAGAGCTAAAATTAACACAGTCACCCCTAGATGTGTGAGCACACGCAGCCATATGAAATGATTCAAGGCAAGGTTTCCCAGTTCAGATTCATTATCCGTATGACCTTACAACTCAAATATTTTAAAGGACCTTTCCTGCTTACTCAGATTTCTGAAGTTTTTTCCAAACTCAAGGTGTTCCCATAATGAATTAAACGTCTCGGTGTTGTCTGCCGCCTCCAAGCATTAAGGAGGAAAGGCTTTGAAATTTCCTTTCATTTCATTGCCTAACAGCCAAGTTCCTAACTTCATTAAATCCTTTCGTTCTCCAGAGCTGGCACCTCTAGAAGGTGCTTCTTCCACTCTCTTTGGCCTACCAAGGGACCCTGGCCAACTAGCTCAGATTGTAACTGTAAATTAGAAGCCTAAATTCCGGATGCATCAAGTTAAGTGAGATGAATCACACTGCTGGGGGTGACAGTAATAGATCTCACAGAGTGAGAGATCTTCTGCCTTGTAATTAGTGTGAATTCTTTCAGTCAGGACTGCCCTTCATGCCTTTCCATAGAGGTAGCAAAGCAGGGTCTTGCTCTTTGCTGGAGCCTTCTGGTGCTGCTGCCATACACAGGGCTCCTTTTCACAAACGCAGTCTTGTTATTCTGAAAATCCCTCTCATAATAGCTCCATTTTTCTCTAGTATTTTCCTGACTGACTGAATGGAGAGACAATGATAGCTACACAAACCTTCCCACATTTCAGGAAACTTTTGATAGCAGATCAAAAGAGTTGTTTTCATAAGGTTTTTTTTCTGTGTCCGTATCGTTTGAAGATTGTGTCTGCCCTTTCAGCCAGCCTTACAAATATGTCTAAAAATACAAGGAAGAGAAAAAAAAAAAATAGCTGAAGTTTGACAACTTCTGTTTGTCCAAAAGTTGTTTGGTCAAAAGCATTGTAAAAGCCAGGAAATGAAGGAGATTTTTCTATCATACTTATGATCACATTTCTGAAGGATAAGACATTTCTGCACAAGTTCTATGTGAATTTTTAGTATCAACTTTGAATTTCCTTGTTTTTTCCTCATTTATAAAACACTCTTAATATAGAATTGTTTTGTCTGAGGATAAATTCTGTGTTTATTCAAATTATTCATTTCATAATATTAAGGAATTATTTCCTGCTCCTCCCCACATAACTATTTCCCTCTTTTTGCTTCTTTTTTTCTTCCTTCAAAGATGGATGTTCTGCACCATGTACATCTTCAGTGTTCTTAAACATAAAGCTGTCTTGTTATTTTGTGGTTCTTCCAAAATTTGCATTTCAGCTTTTAGCAGTCTTTAACCAAGTGATATTTGCTCCCTCTGACTCAGTCTTCTTTCTAACACATTTCAAGTACTTTGAGAAATTCTATAAAGCAGGAAAAAAACTGAAGTCCTTATGTTCCACCTAAGTCAGATCAAAGTACTGTGTTGGCTTCTAACACTCTAGCATGAAAAACAAAACATATTTGATCGAGACTGAACAACAAAATTGCCCTTTTGTTTAACCACTTCAATAGACAGAACACAATATTTCTGATGGAAGTTTATCATTTCACTGAGGCTAGTCTTTTGGCTCCAGCAAAAGGCTAAAAGGAGTTTGGCAACAGTACAGGGATCTGACTGAGCAAAAAGGTTACATGGACACCAGGACAGGTCCAGCTGCTTTGGGACCAGCAAGAAATGAAGCCTATGGCACAGTGAGGTGATAATGGGGGAGTTTCAGCTTCTACTGGTTTTGCTGGTTCCCTGACAGCTGCCAGTGTAGATATATGCCAGTATGGATTACACCACCAGCAGCAATACTCATCATTTCTTCAAAGATGGATGATAACTGGAACTTCTCATTCCTTGTGCTGATCTAAGTCTGGCAAATGCCCGTAACAGCTACCTCAGTCCGTTGTGTTGTATTTATGTCAGTGTTTATAAGACGTAGGTAATCTGTCTTTGGGAAAAGGCTCACGCCCTTACTGACTGTCTTATCTCATGGTTTTGCCTTAGAGCTGTAGCAGCTCCTCCATCAGTCTGGTCCATGTGGTTTCCTGCCTTCACTGCTGCAGCGTTTGGGAGGTAAAGGCTATGGCTTTGATTCCTCAGCTCTTCTGTAGCCCTTACAGATAAGGCTCTGCTGCTTCTTTCCTCACAAATGTCTGCCCACCTCCAGCTACCAAACACCTTGACTGAACCTGCAGTCAGTACCAGGACTTGATCCAGACACTGGAGCTGGTTTAATGTCAAAACAGACCATGATCTCCAAGCTGTGCACTGGCAGCTTCTCACATCTCTCACAAATACAGGAGCATATGGACTGCTCTCACTAACGGCGAGTGATCTTGCTTGGTGATTTCAGAGAATGATGAGGAGCATGAGGTTCTGCTGTCACTGGACAAGCCTGGCTGGTATTCCCAAGGTAATGCTATCCAGCTTTATGAACTACTGAAGAAGATGACTGGCAAGTTGGATCCCAAGGTATGTTATACATGCGAGTAAATCTCTCTGAAAATACCCAGTTTCAGATTAATCTCATCTCTAACATGGAGAATGTTAGTTCTTTTCTGACTTCTCCAGCGTGGTTCCCTCTCATGGGGTGCAGTTCTTCAGGAGCAGCCTGCTCCAGGGCAGGCTTCCCACAGAGTCATGGGCTTCTTTGGGCTCAGCCGCCTGCCTCTGTGTGGGGCCCTCCCTGGGCTGTGGTGGGGGTCTCTGCCTCCCCGTGACCCTCCATCATGATCCTCCACGGATGGAGGGGCACAGCCTGCCCTCTCACCACGGGCTGCAGGGGAACCTCTGCTCCCGCGTTTCCCCACTGACCTGTGTGTCTGCCCTGTTATCTCTCTCACATCCCACTCCTCTCTCCTTCTGCAGGTTCCCCAGCAGCATTTTTTCCCCCTCTCTTAAATACGCTATTCCAGGGACGCTGCCACTGTCACTGACTGGCTCAGCCACAGCCAGAGGAGGGTCTGACTTGGAGCCGGAGGAGACTCTAACAGCTTCTCACAGTAGCCACCCCCGTAGCCCCCACCCCGCTACCAAAACCCCAGAACACAACCTACTCACCAACTGTAAACACGGAAGAATTTTTATTAGTTTGTTTTAAAGCTTTTTTTCTGTCTCTCTGTGAAATCCAGTTGGCTTGTGTTTTCCTCATATACAACAAACTTCTAATTTGCTGCCTCCCTCATAGGTTGTTTATTTTGGTGACAGCATGCACTCAGATATTTTCCCAGCTCGTCACTATAGCAACTGGGAAACCGTCTTCATCTTAGAGGAGCTTCTAGGGGACAAAGTTACAGTGCCTGCAGAGGCTGAATCTGAGCCCTTGGAGAAGAAAGGAAAATATGAGGTAAGGATTCCTTGCAGGTGTTTCCTGGAACAGAGGAAAGTAAGTTACAAAAAAGCCTCATGCCACCTGTGAATTGGCCTGCTTATCTCACCACGTTGCTGGTAGCATCAGCATCCCTCAGACCTACCCACCTGGCCACACCGGGAGGTGCCATCCTGCCCCGGCTCAGCATTGCGTGGGTGACAGAGGACCTTGACCCACAGCTACGTTATGGATCTCGAAGGGCTGTATGTGCAGTCCCTTAACCAAAAAACACAGACTTCTTTTCAGGAGCAAGAACTTCCTCTGCATACTGCAGGGAGAAATTTCATGGCTGCTTATCACTGGTCCAGCACCTGGACTCTGCTGAGTTCATGACGTTTCCCTGCGTGTCGTGGCCAGCAGTAAACAAAGAGGAATTTTTATTAGGTTGCTTTAAAGCTCTCTTTCTGTGAAATACCGTTTGCTCTTGTGTCCCTTGTATGCAAAGAACTTTTAATTTGCTGCTTCCCTTGTGCGTTGTTTATTTTGGGGAGAGCTGCGGTCAGATAAGAGGGACTGTTTTGAAGTCTGGCCCAACACAGACTACTGATAGTTAGCTCAGATAAATAATGTGATTTTCAGGTTGATCACAGCTGGGAAGCAGGCCTGTAGCACAAGCACCACACTTTAATGCTTTCACAGAAGTTGGAAGGTTACTGTCGTTTATCTTTCCCTCTGCTGCTGAAGAACAATGTAGACAGGGAACAGCACTCGGATGGCAGCAGGGTTGTACCTCCAGCCTGTTCTGTGTAGGAACTACAGTGCAGCTTCACTCTCCACGTGGAGTGTTTCTTATTTTGTTCTGAAATAAATAGGTAATTTTCTTCTAATTGCATATTCTAATTATATATTGCAACTTTGTTTTGAAAAGTACTTATATTGTTTTTCTCTACAAATAATTATTCTTTGTGATTAGAAAAGTAACTTACTGACAGGAAGATTTCTGTGGCATTCTTTTATACTAGAGATATTTTTAATCTGACTAAGAAGTGTTTTAAAAGCCCTTTTTTAATGGAGAAAATGATGACTACAATGTGGCTAAAACTGTATAGACATGACATCTATTTCTCTGCTTTTTAATAGGCGTATCTGTATTTTCCCACACTATCCTGATTTCTAAACTAAGGTCAGACAAGGACATTTCAGGCACCAAAATAACATAATGTATTTATTAATGTTTAGGTTTTCTCCTGGGTTGTAAAAAAAAACAAAAATGAAGACAAACAAACTCAAGTCTCCTATCAAGGAAAATGTGTTCCTCATTATGAAATGGGGTAATAAAAGGAAGAGTCAGTGGTAGTGCTATATGCATTAATATAATTTGATTTAATAAATTAATGCTATAAAAATAACTCATTCTCCTCCATCATCCTCTGACCAGAGACTCTGCTGCATAGAACTTAGATGTCTGTAAGATTTGGTGGTTTTTATACAATTGTGGTTTCATAGCAGGTTCAGTATATGCTTTTGAAGCACACATGTTTAAACAGACAGCCAGAACATGTTTCTTTTCTTGGAGGTACAAAGAAAAGAGTTATTGAGTGATGTGTTTTTAAGCCCTTGATGATGGTTTTCTCTTGCTGCAATACCTCTGGCTGACTGCTTACAAGATCTGTCCTCTCTATAGCTGCAGTTATCAAGCAGGAGACTGAGACTTTTAGACAGGTGCTTGACATTTCACTAACACTGCAGTATTCCTGATAAGAGATTGCAATATCTCAGGGAGACACCACCCCTGCCACACACAGCCCCTGTTCGGTTTACATCCGCTACCAGTGACAGCGAGTAAGCAAGGGAGAGATGAATTGCTCTGATTAAAGGAACCTGAACCAGGGGGGCCGTGGCAGGTCAGTGGTGTTATTTCATTACCACGCTGCTCACTGGAGTCTGAACAACGGGTCACATCCATATCTCTGCACTTGACTGGACACCACTAACTTAACAGGACTTGTTCAAAGGGACTCCCTTTCCAGGCCTATGAAAGTTTTATTTTCATTCCCCTAATCAACTTTTCCCATTAACCCTTTGGTTAAGAGGAGAGAAAAGCCAACCCAAAGGATTGTACAAAGTCAGGTGTTCTTGAAAAATTAGGCAATAACAAATTAGATGTAGTCTTTTTCATCAGCCTTCCCATCGGCAATAAAAAAAAATATACTATTACTGCAGAATTTCCATGCCATGCTGTGTGTGCAGAGAGGGGCTGAAAATTTAATACAAGATGCAATTACAAAGTATTATTAAAGAAATAAAGTATTACTGCTAATTGTCAATTGCATCTTTCAGAAAGAAATTAGACAAACCTGATTTCAGTTGTTTTACTGGTATTTCATCACTAATGGACAGAGGGGAAGAAGACAACCTCCTCACACACAAACTGAGAGGCTAGTAATTTCCATTTTCATTAGCAGTTTTTGTCTTTTCCCTTCATTTAAATGCATGATATAAGCCAGATACACATAACTGTGAAGTTATGGTAACAACTGCAGTTCTTTCAAATATATGAGTCATAACCAAATGAGCAAGAGAATAGCAAAATAAAAACTATTCATGCAATTACTCGGCTCCTAAGTGAATTGCAGCATGCAGAGGGAAAAAAAAAATACCAAGCATTGTGTTGAAACAAGATTCCCCCCAGATCTGGGGGTTTGTTTGCTTGGCTGGAGGCTTTGTTTTTGCCTTCTGTTCTTTAAATGTGTGATCAATTCCATCAATGAAAACTCGAAGAAAAGCTGGAATTTATCCCAGGATTTCGAGGGAAATGATTACAGAGGAGCTAGTCAGTGTGTAAAAAAATTGGGCTATAGGAGTGAGTGTAGCAGAAATCAAAGAATTTATTGGTGGATATAGACAGTATTTTTGCAGTTAGAAGGAAAAACTAATTTTTACAGTATTGCCTAGTGGCTTCTTGGCTGGGGGGGGACAGGGGTCAGTGCCCTTAACCCTCCCATATTTCCAGGACTCCTTTGCCATGACTATAGACAAGACTAATTGCTCTGCCTTTTGGCTCTGTTTGTCTCTTTATTTTCCATTTGTCTTTAACACAGATCACCCAGTACTTTCGGGAGCAGCCTGATAGGCTGTTGTGAAGCCTGGTGACCCCTTAAGCAATACCCTTAAAGCACTATCCTGAAGTGAAATATATTTTATTTTCAAGTCTGCTTGTAAAGATCCATGCTGCCGTTTAGGTGTGATGATCACGGGTGAAATGTTTTATATTCACACATGACTTGTGGGAGGCAGGTTCTGTGGAAAAGCTAGACCAGTGGCAGGCATGCCCATTTCCACACTCCGCATGAGCGTGTCATTCAGAGACATATGGTGGTGGTTGTGACCAGCACAGCTGTGCTAGCAGAAACACCTCAAATACTTGCTGTTATACCGGCAAAACCATATTTTGAGCATCGATTTTTTTCTGGCACTAAGAGTCAGTGGGGGTGTTACTACCTTGGCACAAGCCATACAGCCATCCGTGCCTTCCATCATTTTGGATGCAGTGATCTAGTGCTGCCTGCTTGGTACAAAGACGATGGCAAATCTCCATCTAAATAATGCCTTTAAAAGATACTGACAGCTTGATTTTTTCCATTCCTGTCTCCTTTACATCCTTCTTTCTTTCATCTCTTTACCAAATGTAGAAAAACTTCCAGCTCCCTGCCTATTTGTATTTTAGAAGGGTCATTTGTAAGCTGACAAATCAGTGTTATCCAGAGGGTCCCATTAGTAGTGTCTGCGCTTTTATCAGGCCCTATTTGTCTGCAGTTAATAAACCAAAGGTGATAGTAAGTATTCCAGGTGGTACAACTCACTGGAAAGCCCCGGGACTTGGGGAATGCTGGTACCATCGTAATTTCTCTGAAGTCTAGATGCAGTCTTTGAGGCTTTGTACCCTCAACGGGCACAGTCCACGTCCGGTCTGCTACTGTCTGACCAATATGCCAGAGAGCAAAACCACATTCTTGGGGATTTTGCATAAGAAAGAGGGATTGCTCATCGATTCCCAGGATCTAATGTCCTTCTGGGAGAGCAGAGCCCATGTCTGGGGACTACAGGAGTGGCTGGGGAACCTTCCAGAGCTCCTCTCCGGGTGTGTGAGGAATAGCGATGTTAAGAGGGGGCTTTTGCCCCGTTCCACAGATGTGTGGGTAGATTCATGGTAGGTGGTCTGTCCTTCATTGCAGGCTACATATGCTGCAGCTGAAATATGGATATCTAGGCATCAGTTAGGGATGGCAGGGGAGCGACGTCTGATGTTTCCTACGGATGTGAGCCAAGTTTTGACAGCTGTTTTCAGTTTTGAGATTAAGATTTGGCCTACCAAACTGCCCCTGCCATGGAGGGATAAGCCAGTAGCAAAATGAGGGGAGGTCACTACCAGGTGAATTGATGACAACTCTCATATCTAACTGGGTTTGGTTTTACTAAGGGCTTGGGCTGTAAATCCTAAAGAATAAGGAAGAAATTACTACTCTGAGGACCAAACCTCTGAAATAAATCAATTTGTTTCCTCAGATTGCAATTTTAATTGCCTGTTGAACAATCATACATGTCAAAAAGCAGAAGCCTCAGATTTTTGCTCTCGTCACTAAACAAGGCCCTGTCTTTTGTGCAAATGCTTATGTGGGCCAGTACTGGGGTTGCTGTTTTGATTAATCACCTGAACAGCTGTAGCACCCTTAAGAGTTTTCTGTATGTGTCATACAGCTAGACGACAGATTTTAATTCAACATAGCATGTACATTTAATTATAACTGATGTAAAGTCCTGGGATTTGCATGGAAAACTAAGATTTGGAAACAAAAAAAAAGATGCTGTCCCTGTGTGTGAGGGTAAAAAAAAACAACAAACAAACCCACAACCATCCCAGCTCCTAAGTTAACCGCTTGTTTTGAAACTAAAGATGCAGCGATTTTTTCCAACCTGTTTGCATCAAAAGAGAGAAACCAATATCTGTATTTGTCCAAATTGATACTTGCTCCCCACTCTCAGCTGTGCTCAGAGAAAAAACTGAATCTGAAATGAAAAAACTGTTGTGCAGAATCACAAAAATAATGTCTCTGTGTTTACTGATGTGGTCTGTTGGGCTGGATCAACGGCTTTCTTGTGGTCAAAAGCCATGTATCCCTGTCATAAACACAGATTATTCCATCAGATTCTCAAAACTATGAAAAAAGGGGTTAAATGGAAAATAAAGTACAAAAGTTCATGAAGCTGGAGGCACACGCTAAGCATATGTGTTCTTCCATGCTTTGCTGGTCTGCAAAGTTACTTTGCACACAAATGACTTCAACAGATTTTCTATAGTGTAGTTCACAGTTTTGTTTTCCATTTTTTTATCTTTCTGTAGAGGCCTCCTGGAGCTTTTTCTGGCTGCTTATGGCAATATATAGCAGGTTTCAAGATGAACTGCTAAAGAATCAGTTTTCCCAATGCTGCTTTAATGCTTTCTTTAAAACATAATGAGTCTACATGTTGTTGTCTGAAAATATACATGAAAAAAATCAGTTTTTCACAATTTGCTAGGCAACCAAATGTCTCTCCATGGATCCTGTGGCTCTGTTCTCACTCATTCCTCAGCTCAGAAACAGATAACGTGACACAGGTGGCATGATGCATTCTTTGAAATTAGTCCATCCAGCACCAGGAGACTCCTTTCTCCCGGGAGGAGGTCCAGGCAGGGTTATGGTCTGTGCTGCAGCTACCCAGCAGAGAAAGGCACCAGGCTATTCACGCTATCAAAAACAAAACCAACCCAAAACAAAACAAAGCAAAAAGTAATATATTTTTAAAGGAAAAATATTTAAAGCCAACTTTTTATGTCCTGGGAAATCCATAAATTGTGTAAACAGGAGCTTGGGGACTTATGGGAGGAAGATTGTAATTGTTTTTCTTTATAATATTTTACAGTCACATTGATGCTAAGATACAATAGAGTTTTCCCACAAAATCAGAGCAATGCTAGAGTTCCTTAAATGTATTTATTTTTCTTTCAGGGAGATCAGCTTAAAGCTCCTTACTTTGTATCTAAACAGTGGGGCTCTTTCTTCGTGGACAGATTGCCAGACCTGGAAAATGCAGAGGAAACCTTAGTGCACACGTGGTCCTGTAAATGTATTAGCACTTACAGCACTATTGCAATCCCTAGTCTTGAAGCAATAGCAGGTAAGGAAGATGGCTTTCCTCCCCTCCCCAAAATCACTTATGGTAACTTAATAGTAACTTTGTAACACTGTTGATCTATTTTTGGGATTATATGTATCCAAAACACATTCAAAAATACTCTCTGCATGTCACGTAACATTCAGTGGTGGTGGCTATTAATTACTTTGGTGTTTGTACTTTTACTAGTTGTCTGGTACACCAGTTTTTTGTCTGTCTCTGTAAATATTAAATGTTTAATTTATCCTATATTAGACATAGAATGCAACATTTAATAGACTGTAGATTAGTTCCTAAACTTGGACAGGACTTCCCCATAGTATTTTGCTGTTTCTGCTTCCAGTGGTGAGTTACATTAGGAAGCAAACACCTGCAAAGTTACTTGTTTTTACACTTCCAAATATGTTTCTCTCTGATCTGGTTTGTTATCCTTCCTCAGTCAGCTCACTTAGCCCATTACAGTTGAAATGAAGATGAATAAATACAAGCATGTAATGAAGCCAAGAGTGCCTAGGAGTGTGCTGCTCTCACTTTTTTTTTTCAGTGTGTGTATTGCTTTTGAAACTGCATCATTATGGATAGAGCTGGAGCCTAAAACATTCTCCTTATCTGGAAAACAAGGCCATCACACACAATGTCTTTTTCTCCAAAAACTCACCTAGTTGAGAAACCAGCCCAGGCTTTCTAGCTTTTTACATCAAGGCTGCATCAAAAGTACAGTTATGGCTGATCTTCTGATTTCCACTAAATTTTATTCCCAGAGAGAACACCCATTGTTTTGGATGCTTTATAGCAGTAACTTTGCAATTGCAGTACATACCAGTTGATTACAAAGTGGTGGTGAAGGCACTCTACCTATCTATCTATCTGTCTGCTTGTCTATCTATCACAGATTCACAGAGTGGAAGGGACCTCTAGAGATCATCTAGTCCAACCCTTACCTATCTGTCTATCTATAATCTTTCATTTCGCCTTACTGAACTTTATTGGTACATCCTATCTAAAGGAATAAACGAATTATTAAATGAATGAGGTGCTTAGCTGTATGAAGAGCACAGCAAGCATTTAGTTTACTAACCCCTCTGTTCAGCATCTGCTGCCTGCTTCATGCGTAAGACCAAGGAATAAGAAGTTTTTCCAAGAGAGCATTTCAGATTTGCCCAACAGTTATTTCTACATCAGAACACGATAGACCTGTTCTTTGCTATCATATCCTATACAGGTACGTACATTGTAAGGATATCTCAAAACAGAAAACTCAAGACGGTGCCACAGTTTATTTATGCTTCTGGTATTTGCCGTGTTGCGGTCTGTATTTCAGTCTAAAGGTACAAAGCCCAGTATACCAAATGCCAAGAATGATGTAACCTCTGTAAAACTCCCTTCTGATATCTATCCCAGAGTCATTCTGTGTCTTGCTTTGGAAGTGTGGGCCTAGAGGAAACACGTTGGTCAGCAACACTGTGAAACTGCCCCTAGCCAGCTCCCTCCAACCGCAGCCCAGTTTGCAGGGCTAGCAAAGGCTGTAGGCCGCAGACGTACCACGCCAAGTTTCCAGCTACAGATGAAGGGGTGAGAGCCAGAAAGGCCTATCTGCGCACATTAGTGAGTAGTAGAGCTGCCTGCCATTGGCAGTGGAGCCCCTGCAAAGTCTGTTCCTCCATTAGGAGGGACACTGCATGCCATCCCTCATTGCGTCAGTCGGACCGGTGCCGGGGCAGGGGCTAGTGTCTGCGAAACTTACACCCCGCAGCTAAAGGCCAGGATGGAAATAACGTTTTTAACTTGCAGCTCTGTGCCTGAAAGCAGACACAAAGGTGAAGGTACAAGAACATCTCTGGTTTCTTACAGAGAGAGGTATTTCTTGTTTGTTTGTGTGGAAGAGCAGATGTTCATTATTATGGATGTTGAGGAATTCCTGACTCCTCTTGAATACCTTGCCTGACTCCTGTCACAGCAAGCTGTGAGAGCCCCTGCTTTGCCAAGCCCCGAAGTTTTTGGCTGCAGTTATAAGTCATAGCTTAGCTGCAGCTGTTTGGGAATAACTAGCTAGAAGAGAGTCAAACAGGTTATGTGAGTTTTCTGCACTCCTGCTTTTCCTTCCCTATTCATCTACTTTAATTACCAGCAGAGGACTTTAGACTGCCAAGCTGCAAAAACTCAGGCCTTCCCTCAAAATCCCCCGAGCCCAAACGTGCAGTCAGACTACCAGCACGCTGACCCTACAGGCCCAGCTCTCAGCCACTGTCTGTCACGGTCCCGGCAGCATCCGGCTCATCCTGACCCAGCTAGAATAGCTGCGACCTCCCTGCAGGTGTGCTGCAGCCCCCTTTGGCTGCTGGGCTCCCAGGCTTATCAATATCAGCGATGACTGGCCTTTGTATGTCTACGTGAGCGATAATAAGTGTCACCTACAAGTAAATATCCCAACAGCTTGCGATCTGCATAAATATTTGGTGAAAGGCAGACAATCACTGCTATGCTAACTTCAGAATTGATCCTTGTTGTTTGGATGCAGCATGAATCTGTGCACAAAGAGCGGCTTGGTTGACTTCTCAAAACACATTTTTCATTGAAAAATATTATTCCAAGAATTATTCAATGTTATTCAGTATTAACAGTGTTTTACAAAATAACTTAGTTTTCATCAAAATTGATATGAGAATTCTTTTGAGAGAGTTATCAGAAATTCTTTTTGGGTAATAAAACCCTTCAAGCCTGTTTCCATTTTCTTTAAATAGATGAAATATGTAAAAAAAATAAAATAGGCTATAGATCTGCATTGAGAAGTTGAAAGAGAAACAACTTTGACAGTTCTCTTTTTTCACCAACATGTAAATTTGGTGCAGATGCTTTCTGATACTTTCACTTGAAGAATTTATACGTCCAGCTAAAGGGAACAATCTGGTGCTTACCAAAGGGCATTGTAGTAAAAGGGTTAAAGCATTATTGTTACGTCTTCGCAATATTAAGAGAAGATGTGATAAGTTGAAACTTTTCTAAACGTTTTGTAGGTCTTTTATGAGCCAATTCTCCTTACTCACTTTCAGTAAGCAGGGAAATTTTTCTCAAGTATTGGAAAGCTGGTGAGCTCATGAGTATATTGACAGTGCATGGTTAATAAAATAGTAGAGCCAATGTCCCTACTCCTACATCCATCTGTTTTTTAACTTTTCTGCTATTGAATATCTCCTCATTTACAGCTCCCTTACAGATTTTGACCACTTTCAAGCACAGTGATATCATAAACCAAATTTTCCAAACCACGATACATTACCGTGGGAATGTTACATTTCAGTTTACACATGGAAATTACAAGGTGGAGGGGTCTGTCTGAAAAATGGCTTTTTGCATAAACCACAGTTTCTAATACATCCTCCTCCACTTCAGAAAGTTTGCTGTGAGCCAAGTAGAGACAGGTGCTCTTATCTATCATACCTGAATAATCTGAACTTTACCTTCAAGGAGAAGGCGACCGCTACTCTCTGACCATTTGATCAAATTTCCAGACACCTGTGTAAATAATTATGTCCTCTATCACATAGGTGATCCAACAGTAAATACAGAAGAACTCTCTGATTTACAAAGAAGATCAAATATAAATAATATCTTATTTACTAAACAGGTTTTTGTAGGAAAAAGTCACTGAAATAACTAGCAAGTGCTACCATTTCGGATGGATTAACACTTCTTTGATGCCAAAAAATTATATGCATATTTCAAGTTAATGCTTTTCCTTTGAATCTCTTTATGGTTGGTATTTTTATAAAAGTCCCACTTCAGAAAAATCCATGATGAGTTTTTGTGGTGTTTTTGAGCTTAGGAGGGAGTTTTGGTAAGTTTGTTTTGTTCTCCGTTGCAAACACAAGCTTAAGAAAGTGGGCTCTAAATCTTAATAAGGACAACCCCAAAAAAACCCTTTTCAAAAATTTTGTTACTGTTAATCTAATCTCCTGATCTTGTCTCATAACCTCTGAACAGTGAGGTTTGTCATAGGATTAAAACTTACTGCAAGCACAAACAGGAGCTTGCAGCTCAAGAGAGCTGCATTTCAGAGACGAATTAGTGCAAATGGAGAATTAGTTTTATGGAGACAGAGTTCATTTCACACTTTGGAGATTTGATAACCAAGCTTGTGTCGTGCATGAGGATAATGCATTTTTTAAAATCTTGCGTGCTGTATGAAATTCTATCATGCTTTGCCCATATGGGTGCATAAGTTTTTCTTCATGCCTTTCTGTTATTTCAATTGGCTGGTGGGAGAGAAAAATCTCCATTATAATTTACCAAAGCTGTCTCTTTAAAGACTCCTACAGATCTGTACCCTGCCACTTTCTGTGGGCGTTTGAGTCATCAGCCTGCTTGCTGTATAAATATAATGATAAAATTGCCAGTGAACCATGGCAAAGGGGTTCATGTTTCTGCTTAGATTTGCGAATTATCTGCACAATGGAAAGCCCAAGGCAGCTGTGACTGGGGCACCAGAACTGGCAACGTGTGGGTCACAGATACACGGGTCTGCCCCTCACAAATCAACTACAAATTGCAAACCAAAAAAAAATGTATTTTAAAGGTGAATGCCCTTGAAGAATCAACTGTTACCACAGGAGTCCAGAATTTCACCAAGCATGTAGCCATATACTCCCTTCTCACTGTAGTTAAACAAAAATTTCCCAAATTTTAATACATTAGTTCTATGACTTTTTATTGGCATTATATCATATAAAGTCAAATCCAGCTCCTATTAAAAATAAATTAGTCTTTCCTATAACTAGAGTGATAATTATGTGCTCTTACTTATTCAATACAATAATGGCATATAATTTCCTTAAACGTATAGAGCTATCTCTATTATACATTACTTGGTTAATTAGCAGTACCTTCTTATGTTTAACATCGTACCTTACAACCATGCTTTTACTTACCATCTTCAGTGTAAGAATATGTCTATACAATATCATCTGCAGATTAAGTTTATCAAAATGTTTTGAGGATTTAAACTG